AATATATTATTAAATTGCATAAAAACTGTAGCTTGTAGAATGAAGCCGATATCAAATTCAAAAACAGCGACGAAAAACTATGCATAATAACATTTCAAAAACCTAATGCATTAGAAAATATTAAAAAAAAAATTCTGCAATTCATTTTATCGTGAATAAAGGCTTCTTTTGCTTAATTGAAAATGATTTTCCCGCACTGAACTTTCAGACAGACATAATTATATATTGTTGTCTTTATAATTTAGCCAATTTTTAATTGTTGAGAAACCTATTCAAGAGCGACGCAAGAACAAAAAAATTTTCAGTATATACTTATAAACATTTTTTCTGAACTCTCAAGGAGTCCTTTTTAATATTTATTTCTATCACTACTCAAAGAAAAATTAACTTATTTGAAGCATATCAATAAAATTAACGTTATGCCTGAATTTTTCTTTCCAGTATCCACCAGCCAAATTTATTGCTAGTAGATACACTTATTAAACCGCGAGAAACCACTCCGATTGCGAATTAATTCTTACAAATTTAAATTTATTTATTAAAAATATTCTATTTTCTCAAACGGTAGTTTCAAAATTTTGAACAACCTTAATGAATTTTATTTATTTTTCAACATCTCTCAAGTAAAAGGAAACTGAATATTTTATTTCATATATTTAAAAAATACATTCCTTAAAATGATTTAATAATTATATGTCTCAAAATTCAAAAATTTTTAAAGCGTATTCGCAAAAATATTAATGAATAATTATTTAGAGCTATTTTTTGTATAGATTGTTGAATGAAAGAATTTTATAACTTTGTACAAAATGTTTCGATGAGCTTGAAAATTCCTCGAGATATCGCGAAAGAAGCAAAGTGTATAATCAAAATTAAGAGAACTAAACTTTTGATAGCTCGCCTGTCCTAACTATTGGGACCATTTCGACAGAATTCGAATTTGTTGAAAAAATTTATAAAAAAAAATGAGCGGTTATATGAATTTTTGTTTTTTAAAATACTGTCTGCTGCACTAATTAAGTAGTGCAAATAATTAATGCAATTAACTAATGAATATTTAAGCTTCGACCATTGAGTCATTAAAGTCTGTTCTTAGGCCTAATTCCGATCATTAGTTCATATGCTGTTTATATATATTTTTTTTTTGCAACGTCAACAAGATACAATCAAGAAATATTTAAAACTAAGGAAACTTATGGAAATTTTAACTATTAATTATAAGCCTGTAATAAATCATTTTTTATTTCTAGATTTGATTTTTTTTTATTCAAAAATATGCATATCCAGGTTTGCCACGGGTGAATAAAATTGCAAAAAGTGTGACAATTAAAATTTTTAATTTTAATAAAAGATATTAAAATATTCTAATTTTTATATATTTTTTTAGATTATTTGAAATGCCAAATTTCTTAGATTATTAGAAATGCCAAATTTCTTCGCTCTGTCAGAAAAAAAAATCTCTAGCAATATCGGAATTAAAGGTATTTTTCGCTTAGTTTTTTTTTTTTTTTTTTTTTTTTTTTTTTTTTTTTTTTTTTANCTTTTTTTTTTTTTTTTTTTTTGGTGCATTTTTTGTAATTTAAAAAATATTATGACAAATACAGCATTATTATTGCTATCTCGTGGGGAAACTTTCAAAGAGTGAGCGTAATTACTCTAATTCCGCATTTTTCACGCTTCAAATTACTACCAATTTATTAGAATTAGGCAGAAAGCGGAGCAGTTGTTATTTCTAGCTTACAATTGAAAGTGGATTCTGAGAATGGTTTTCCTTTAAATATGAATAAGTTGATATGTAAGCCATAGAATAATTAAAAAGATAATAAATAAATAAATTTTCTTCCCCTTTTTACATTTTAGTCGCATGTGGCGTTTTTTCTGGATATCTTGCGTAAGGAACACGACTTCTGTGGGAGAAATGGTTTCCATGAATTAATAATATTTGTTTGTATTGTTAAAAATTCCTATCGATTATTTTTTCCATTACAAACAAACGTAGCTTAATCGTATCATAAACGTAAATGCATTATCTCCTTCTTCCAATTACTTTCTACGTAGTAGAGAGGTGGTAACTCCTAGTAGTCACCAAAATTAAATTTTTAAAAAATTCTGCTTAGAAATATATTATTAAATTGCATAAAAACTGCAGTTGGTAGAATGAAACCAAAATCGAATTTGAAAACAGCGACATAAAAATATACATAATAACGTTCAAAAACCTAATGAATTAGAAAATGTAAGAAAAAAGTGTATAATTTATCATAATGTGAATAAAGGCTCCTTTTCTTTGAAAATACTTGTTTTGTCACGCATAGAACTTTCAGACAGACGCAATTATATTTTGTTGTGTTTATTATTGAACTACTTTTTAATTGTTGAGAAGCCAATAGCGATAAAAGAACTGAAGAAATTTTCAGATCTAAAAGATGACTAGTTATCAACCTTCCTCCTAAACTCGCAAGAAGCCTTTTTTATTATTAATTACTACCGCAACTGACAGAAAAAATAACTTTTTCGAAGTATTTCAACGAAATAGACTATATTCATGAATTTTTCACTTTTCTTTCTTATAACGCACCAGCCAATTATATTGCTAGAAGACACTTTTAATAAACGTAAAAGCAATGTAATAAGTAATTATCATATTGAACTGAACTGAACTGAGTTTCGTTTCAGTGTACCTGTCCGCGAAGCTGACACTTCACACTTTCATCTGAAGTTGTGCCCGTGGGCACCTGTAATGATGGCATTGCAAGTGGATAATGGCGGTGAATTTTGGCGGCGGTGGTCAGATTAAATCTACATTTTATCTATACCCATAAAATAATAACACGATTAAATAATACTAGCTGATGGTTAAGATTGATATAAGTCTCTACTATAACAGTGACCCGGCCGTCCTGGTATTCAACCACTCGTACCGGGTTGCTCACTGTACTGATATTAGTGGAACTACGACTTCCCCGGATCGGACCCTATACAGGGTTAGTCCTTCACCGGGTTTACCGTAGTCCAGTGTATAAGCTGTGTGTGTATTAATTATCATCATTTAAGTTTAAAATTATTTTTTATTTAATATTAACAAGTTCACGCCGGAAAAAGTGAAACGTACTGGTACGGGAAAAGAGAAAATATTGGTAGAAGAACTATTTCAGTATTAAATAATATTCGAGAGGAGTTAATCTATTTTCAATAATAACAATTCACTGTAGGGAAATTTATCACGGTGAAGAAGCAATTCAATATAAAAATTGCATCCGTTAAAAACAATTGGTAGTTATGGATTTTTATTATTCCCGGAAAAAAACTAAAAAATGAAATTTATTGTTACCAGTTTTTATTCAGGTGCGCTGCCAAGATGAGACAACCGATGGTTCCCTCTAGATTGTCTCATCTTGGCAGCGGGTGAGCGTGTTAAACGCTCACCAGCTGTGAACGTGTTAAATTGCGTGTTTTAAAAGGATTTAATAATTTATGTACCCTAAAATTAAAAAAAAAAAATGTTGAAACGTTTTCACAAAAATAATAATATATTATTAATATTTATTTAAAGCTATTTTTTGCATCGATATTTGGATAAAAGAATTTTATAACTGTGTGCAACATGTTTTGATGAGCTTGAAATTTTCTCCAGATATTGTGAAACGAGCAAAAAGTAAAATCAAAATTAAGAGAACTAAACTTCTGATCGCTTGCCTGACCATATCGCCTACAGTAACCATTTCGACAAAATTCGAATTTGTCGGGGAAAAGAAATTATTAAAAAAATATGCTGTTGTATGAATGACTTTGTTTCTTATAATTCTGTGTTCTGCAGATATTAACTAGTGCATACCTGCCAACTTTTAATCCTTTCCATTATAATTTTTCCCAGTGGTATTAAAATGGAATTAAAACTTCAATTTTAAGCAAACAAATACGTTGTATTTGAGGAAACTTAAGGTGACAACCATGATAGTAATGCATATTAATATATGTGCTTAATTTTTGTAAGAATAGTGGTAATCAAAATCATTTATAAATTAAATTTATAAAAGAGAAAATACTATATATTTACCACCACTTTAAATATGAAAATAAAATCTTCCGGAAAATCCGAAAGAGTTGGCAGGTTTGCTAGTGTAATTAGTTCATGCAATTAACTTGTGGCGCCAAAGGAATCGACTGGTTGACAAACACACGACCGGCAACCTTGTATCTTCCCCAGTAATTAAGAAGCTTCGAACTTTACCATCACCTCCTACATCTAAAAGCCTCCCAACGATCTTTTATAAGTAGTCCGCGCAGACAATTCCAAAAGTGAACTAGTTGTGCGCATGAACCCAAAACCTTTTATAAAGTAGTTGACTGTTGATGATGATGTGGGGGGGGGGATCTGTGCTACTCGCTTTTATCCCCCTTGCTGTAAGGTGTATCTTTTGTGAGTTGAGTTGTTGGTGGTGAAGATGATGACGATGATATGAAGAAAGTGTTCTTGAAGAAGCGAAGTAAATTTACTGTGCAGATGAAAATTAAATATTTTTTCCAAAACATTTTTGGAGAGGTTGCTTTGATAAAATAAAAAAGAAACTAACGTTTGGTGGTTCCAACACTTTTGGAGAAACACGTTCATCAAAACTAAATTCTTAATAAATAAAAAAAAAACTCTTTTTCCCAGGCGCTCAGAGAAGCTTAAGCCAATAACTTAAAGATTTGTAACTGCATTTAGTTAAGGGATTTGAAAACTGGAGACTAGAAACGCTTAGTTGAAATTAAAAAATCCACTAAGTTTTTAAGAAGATTATCATATTGGTCGTAACTAAGAAGACGGTGAAGGGAGAGTGGGAAAACTCCGATAGAAGCGCGCAGCGCTTGTCGCTGATGTTCAAACTTTTTGCATTCAAAGAGGAGGTGGATAGCAGATTCTGGTTGTTGACAGTGGTCGCATAAAGGGGAGTCAACGAGCCCTATTTTTGCATATATTGCGTTAAGTTGGATTGTGTTGCTTCGGAGACGCGAGATTAAGATATCGTATTTTCGGTTTGGGAGTTGATTGAGGGAAGTTTTATTAACTGGGTGATCAAAGGGGAAACGCTTGTGGTATTTTGANATTCTCCTGGCACAGACTGAGTTATTTCTGCGTATGAGGGCTTTTTCAAATAAGCTATTCTTCTAGCTTCACTCATCGGAACATGATGGGTAGACTTAATTCTCATTAGTTTCTCAAAATTTAAAAATGCAGGACAATCACGCTGAATTGGATTATGGTTGCCGTTACAATTTCTGCAGCACTGGACCCTAGTACACGGGCCCTGATGTTCGGAAGAAAGGCCTCCACAGTTGTGGCATCTGGTTGGGGATTTACAGTATTTATCGGGGTGGCCGAAACTCCAGCAGTTTTTGCATAGGGTAACGCTATCTTGGAAGAGTTTAGTCTCATAGTATTGATACCAGAGACGTATTTTCTCAGGGACAACAGTACCTAAGACATTGAAAAGGATTGTGGTTGTCGGTTTCCCTTGTTTTAAGAACCGACGAATTTCTAGAGCTTGTGTCTTGTTTTCAAAATTGAACTCCCGACTAATGTCCGAAACCGAAGTTTCAACAGGAAAGTTCCTGAGAATGAATTTGGAGGAAATGCATTCTAGAAGGCATTTAACTGCTACAGGAATCTCTAGGATTGTTTTTATCTTTAAGATGTATTTTGCAGTTTCTAAGTCGTCACATTGAATAAGGAGCGACCCGCTTTTTTGGAATCTAATACTTTTAATTTTTTTTGTCGGTACAGAAGCATTTAGGTCTGCTTTAAGGCGTACTGGTGAGGTCTGAGGTATAGCACTAGATTTTTCTTTTGCTTCAATATTAAACCAAAAGTCTGCTGAGCCGTTGTTTTTAGCATGAGCCAAAATATCTTCTATGGGCTCCTTGGAGCACCACTGGTAGTCTAGGAGATTGGTCATTTTGACCAGATGGCCCCCAAAAGGTAAAGAGTAAAAGTGGCTTACCTGTTTTTTGGTAATCCTGAAATAAGGAGGGAGTTTTTAAACATTTTACTATAAATTCGTGGATGTTTTCTTGTTATCCAACAAAAAAAAGGGAAAAGTGAAATTCGGAAAGTAATAAAAATTCAAAATAAAATTTAAACGTGACTTATCTTTAGTCACATCACTCTCTCTAAAATCTAGTTATTAGCCAACTGACTTCATGAAAAGGCTTCGGAAAAAACTGCGATTATTTCACTCATTAGTCGGTTTTTATAATCCAGTGCACACATCCAAATAAAAGATTACGAGCTACGCATATTTACTCTAACAGGTCCAATCATACACTAGGAATATTCCTGCGTAAGCATGTGAATAATATCGACAATCAAACTTTTTAATAATCTCCAATTATTTATAGTCTTTACTGATTCCGTAGGATCTTTATCATAAATGCCCTTTTATAAAGTACTTGAGAAAAATTCATCATATATATTTGAGAATTGAATCTGTAGTGGTAGACAAGTGAATAAGGGAAATCAATAATATTCATAAATAAAACAAATTTTTAGTCATATATTTGCTACCACTTTCCTGTTTTAACTAGATTTTGTATTAAGTGACTCATTCGGAAAGTGGATAAGGATATCCTTCACAGTGATCTGATTGCACTACCTATAAAAAACCGTGTGGAGGCTTTACTCGGTGCACACACTCATACTTAATTTTATGTTTCTGTTTTAGCTTTTTATGTTTCAGTTGTTAATAAATGTTTAGTTGATTTTTGTCATAGTTGTCTTCAACTTAATATGAGAGGGTTCCTCCCCCTCAAACTAATGAAAATTTAAGTTTTGGCCCTTGAATCACTCAAATCTGTTTGGTCTAATTCAGATCATAAGTTCATATGTTATTCAGAGTTTTTACTTTTTTGCATCGAAAACGAGATACAAACAAGAGAAAGTTAAAAGATACAATTTGCGCAATGGATGCTAATTATAAGCCTGTAATACATTATTTATTACTGGATTTGATTTTTTGAAGTTATACTTCTTATGCGACTTCCAACAAGGTTGCGTTAAACGTTTAACGCTACATTTTTATTGGCCGGAAAATCACGTGGTAGGATCCAGTTTTCCCTCATTCATTTCCATATTGCTTTGGTTCTCACTAGCATAAAAATAATAAAAGTCATAAAAGTTTTCGCGATCGCAACACTCGAGTACGCCCTCTAGCGGGAGCCTGTAAATATCAGACATTAATTTATGGCGTTTTCATTTAGTTCCATCTGAATCACTGGCAGAATCGGTCGCCATTTTCTTTGCACGAAATAAGAAGCAAAATTTTCCTAAGGAAAAAGCCGAAAAACTTGAAAAAACTCTCCAGAACATTGTTAAATCTTTCAGAAACAGAACACGCAAAGCATTTGAAGAAAATTCCTCAATAATTTTCAACTTATTATCAACAAACTTGCAACATATAACTTCCGATTTCGCTATCGCATACTGTTACAGATGTGTGTATTAAGGTAAAATGCATTTCTTCTGTCTTCAATTCATTACAAATTAAAGTGAAATCAACATTGCTTTCGTCATTCCAATAAATAAATGTGAATTCAGAACGTCAAGAACTGCAATCATTTTGGAATTCTTCTGATTTATAAAGCACGTAAGTGTTAATTTTTATAAAATAAAGCATTTTACTTTTAAGTATGTTTTTTCTTATTTGATGATAGTTTTCTATAGAATGGTTTTCTGTGTCCGATTATGAATCAAAAAAGAAAAAACATGAAAGTTGTTTATTTTAATGTAAGGAAATTTTAGAATTGGGTTTTTCCTTTTTGCTTTGTATCGTAAGCATTCTTTATTTTACGTTTATTAGTTTCGAAATAATGATTTTTATTGAAACTTGAAATTTTTTGATAAAAATTGTTGTCAAAAAACGTTGTTTACAAAATTAAATTTCATAAAATTATGAGGCTTATGTATACTTTTTGTTCATTTTAATTTTTGAACTAATATGATTCTTAAAACTATAGAATGTAAAGTTTAAATGGGCCTTTCATGTTATATCATTAAATTTAGTAATACTATTTCTCGGGCATTAGGTTTTAACTCTTATAAGAATATACATATTTTTTTCTGTTTATGTACAAATATTTTTCCGATGTGTTTTGGAT